TGTCCATTCAAGGACAACAGTTCATGGAGCGAGAGGGCTGTGCCCTGGTGGGTTCGAACCACCGACCTGTGGCTTCCTATGCCAACGCTCGACCACTGAGCTAAAAGCGGATTGCTCTTAAGCTTGTCCATTCAAGGACAACAGTTTATGGAACGACAGGGCTGTGCCCTGGTGGGTTCGAACCACCGACCTGTGGCTCTCAAAGCCAACGCTCAACCATTGAGCTAAACGGGTGTTGCCCTTAAGCTTGTCCAAGCGTGAACAATCGTTCATGGAACGAGAGGGCTGTGCCCTAGTGGGTTCGAACCACCGACCTATCGCTTGTGAAGCGAGTGTTCAACCGCTGAGCTGTTGTCGACGACTCGAATGAGTCAAGAGCATTGCTCTAAGCGGTTTGCAGCTCTTGGAGTAGGCGCGGAGCGCGAGCGTAGGTCTGAGACCGCTTGAGAGCAAGATGCGCGCTGCGCTTGAAACATTGGGCCGTGGGCCGACGACGAGAAGTTGGGCATCAACGATGCGTAGGCGTTTGTGAGCTCACGGAGCTGTACAACGCTGGGGTGAGGTGTAGTAACCTCCGCCGTCTTAACAAGACGTGACCTCGCTGAGGAAAGTTTCGAGAACGGAATGTTCTCATCTTAGTGGGGGAGAGTGTAGTTACATGGTGTGGAACACACAGGGGTACGAAGTACCCGGAGAGTTAACAAACTCTCAGTACATAAGTTGGAGAGTTAACAAGGTCTCTCAGTACGTTGGCTGAAAGCCACACGTTATGCATTTGATTAGGTTTAACTATGCTAGATAGTTAAACAGATACATTTACCCCTAGGCGGCTTGGCCGCAATAATAGTAAATAAAACACTTCTGGTTTTGAAGCATAAAGGTTAAGGTATTAACTTTGAGCCCTGGTCTTGGGCTGTAAGTGTCCTTTGGATAAGGAACTTAGTATTAGTGACTCTTTGAGTCGAACGTCTTCCTCTGACGCTAAAGCTACGGCAGCCCCGCTGCAACATGGGCGCGAAGTGCTGGTAGTCGGCGTATACGTTGATGACCTACTAGTGACCGGAACGGGACAGGAGGCCGTGGATGCGCTCTTTGCGGAACTTGCAGACTTATCCATCAAGAATTTGGGAGAGGCCAGGAGGTTTCTCGGGATGAGAGTCGTGTACGATGAGTCGTATGGGTACGATTTCGACCAAGAAATCACGATCACAGAGATGCTGAATGAGTTCGGCATGGGTATGGCGCACGGAGCGCGGATGCCGATTGGACTAGAATGGAGTGATGGATGTGACATCGAACTAGAGAAATTGCCGATCTCCGGTGCGTCCGCGGTTGCGACAGTGAAGAAGTTCCAGTCGCTGGTGGGCAGCCTACTCTGGGTAGCTCGCTGCACAAGGCCAGATATAGCTTTTGCTGTTCACAAGGCGTCGCGGCGAGCGCATGAACCCACGGTCACGGACTGGAAGTTGGCGAAGCGAGTACTGCAGTATCTCGCTGGGACGAAGCAGCTGAGACTGCGGATGAAAGGAGACAGAGGGCGGATGGAGCCACTGCAAGTTGTGGGCCTATAGTGACGCGGACTTTGC